AGAGGGCTTTTTGATAGATTCTTATTCTTTCTGTGAAATGATTTGTGAATTGCTGTGCAATCAACTGGCAACAGTGTCTCTGCCGGGTCAATAGGATTGAAGGTAGATGCCTGAAGGGAGTGAAAGCCATGTTTTGACAACCCTTTCACAGAGGGTGTCTCATCTTCAGTACACATTCTGAATTATAGTTCACTGATTTCTCAATGTTGTACAAGTTATTTTTTCTAACAGGACTGAACAATAAGATGAAGGGCAGATGTCTTAAATCACTGCAGTAACTTCCTTGATCACCCACTGACTAGCTCAATGGGATGGGGTTTTCTAAAGTGCTTGTCAGTCTCACAGACCTGGACTGTTTAAACAACTCTTTAGCAGACTTGAACAAAAGCTCTTAAGAAATGCAGAGATCTTCTCAACTTTCTCATCCCTCCTCTCTGCTGTTTTGCTATTGCTTCTCAATACATCGTATCTACAAACCTGCCAATATCCACTGACAAAAAAAAGCAGACGTGTATTTGCATATGTTTGCATAAATTTGCATGTGTCTGGGCATAGGCCAGAAAAAGCATGTGCCTTCTTACTTTGAAGGGATGTTATAACAACCCCTGAATTGAGTGATAACTGCATTGGTGAGTTAGTACTGTGTGTCAAGACAAAACGGTCAATAAAATATCCATTTCTTGAACTTGCTAGCAACAAAACTGTAAAACTGTGACCAGCATGTGGCATGTGGTACACTAGGGGAAATGTAAAAAGCTTTTTGCCATCTAAAAATGTCTATGAGATGACAGAAGACCTTTTGCATCAAGTGAAAAAAAGACATGAGCTGTATTCTAGAATGGCTTATCTCTTTATTGTTTCACCTGCCTGCTATTGGATATTAATACAAACTTAATACAGTGACTTGTAGTCTGTAAACATTACCATCTCCAGAATATTGGGGAAAATATAGGTCTGGGGAGGGATGGATGTGGCTTCATTCAAAGCATCACCCCAGCAGACTGTGTTACTCAGAGCTGATTGATTAGAATTACAGAGGGAAGATCCCATGACCGACCCAGGAAGGATTCATTCTCTCTACAAGCACACCTGTGTTCAGCTTCCCAAAGCTCATATATTAGAGGCCTGCTCTGCAGACAGCCATAATCAACAAGCTACGCATATTGTCTTTGGACTGGATCCACGAGACAGTTGGAGGCTGCTGCTTCCCCATGCATGTAAAGCACCTTTCCCTTTTCCTGTCAAGCCAGCCAGTTCCTGGCCCGTGTATCACGAAAATCCATTTTAAGGCTCAAAGGTGGTCTGAGTGTTAAGTCTTCTGTGCTGGGGTGAATTTCATTGATTTAAGCAGTATCTTAGTTCACAGTTAACCTCTCAATTTTTTATTACTGTTTCAGGGGAAATGTACCTTTTATAACCATAGCAGTACTGGCAGTGTGTGATACCTCTTTGTTTGCACAGTTTATCTCTTCCTACCTGTGGCTTTGGATAAATTACTAATAACAAAGGCTTGTTATCACCAAACAAATATTCTGAAGTGGCACCATAGAAAAGTTGCCAGTCGGTTGGCAAGGAAAACTTTTTGATCAAATACTCTGTGCAACTGGTAAAGAACCTGAAAATTAGAACCTTTTATTTTCTCTATAACTTCTGGAGTTATTCATGGCTTTTGTAAGAATGGGGTGATCCTCACTTTTATGTAAATACGTGTTTATATAGGCTGGCAGAACTTCCTCTGGCAGGGACTGATGAAATGCCAGCATTTCAGTAGTGCTGTGCCTGCTCTGTTGGAGGTATGACCCAAGCTACTTTCCTTTAACTCCCCCTTTTTTTTTTTGGTGGGGGGGAATAAAGGGGGGAAATAATATGTTCCTCATAGCCAGAAAATGCACAATCAACATTTGAATAGTCCTCCTCTGTTGTTTTTCTTCCTTTCTTGTGTCAACAAGACATCATTGTGTCAACAGTCAGCAAGCTTTTACTTGCACTGCATATGTCACCTGGAGCTATTGACATGGAGTTAGGGAACAGTGTCTAAAACATGTTTCCAGTCCCTGGCATGGGGAATTGCAAAACAACTGAAGAAAGAGCAGCAGAGAATTAGGAAGAGGTCGCAAGGGGTGGAGGACAGCACTACTTAATGGAAGCTGTTAGAGTCCAAAGACCCTGGTGCATAAAAACCTTTTGCTGGAAACATCCTTGTCCCAACAGAGCAGCTGATCATTTCAGAGCAGCTGGTCCCATGCAGTATGAGGCCAACAGGTGTTAAATATCTGCTATCTTTAAGAACACACTGCATGCTCCCATCTCAGGACCTCAGCCACCTGCAAGCCCTGGAAGTGTGGAAGCTCAGCGGTGAGACCGGACCAGCCCTTCAAGAGACAGCTTCCACTACTGGAGGAGTGCTTTTTTGCCTGGGCCAGGCAACATCCAAGGAGCAAGAATAAGAGCGGGATGTAGGGCGGTTTGTAGTGCTCATGCTCACACTGCCACTCCTAAGTGGTCATGCCTAGACAGCAGCCGTAGGTTTAATGATGGGCACAACCTCTCCACTGCACACCACAGTCTTTGCACAGGGCAGTCCTCTTTGGACAGGCAGTGTAACCACTGATAGCTGTACAGATCTATGCCACAATATACTGCTAAATGTGCAGTCTGCTGGTAACATATTCGACTCATCCTCCTGATGGGAGGTGAGAGATACGTTGTTAGACTGTAACGCTTACTTGACTTCCTTGCTGGCACTGCTGGGTAGACTGGGATACTGTTAACCTTGCTGTAAGATGTGTTAATATGGGCGCCCTCCTTGTTGAATGCTTACTGAAGATTTTCACATGCTCTTTCCTTTGCTATAGGGGAACACCTTTTGTTGGCTCTGTTAAGCTCAGGCCAATGTTGCCAACCCATGGGGAGGATGTGGTCACCCCACTTCCACTAGAAGCCTCAAGTATCTTGCCTCAACCTTATCTTCTTGTAGTTCTTTCATGGTGGTGATAAGGGGCTTTGACATGTGGCTAAAGGTGTGCCCACTCCTCAAGCAGCAGGCAGGAGTAGCTGGCATTCAGCAAGCTGTGTAGCAGGCTGAGGCAGTAGAAGCGTAACCCTCCAGTGTCCTGAGATAACAGTCAGGGGCTGAAGCACCTACCAGCACTATTAAAATGACACCTAATAGTATCATTTTAGTAGTGTCATACCCTTGGTACAGGGGTAATCACATCTTTAACTGCAGCAAAGATACAGCTATTAACTCCTATTTACAAGCTTTCTGTGACTAAATGTGTTTATCACTTGGATCAACTCTGAGATGAATCAGGTAACAACAGGGGAGAGGGAAAGATATTATTTAAAATTGTAAAACTATTCTAAAGCAAGTTTTGGGAAAAAACCTGTTACCTTACATAAGGTAAAGGAACTGGATGTTGGAAAGGCACAGTTCTGTCTGTGTAGTCTCCTTGTCTAGCATGGCAAAAATGAAATGTCCTGTCCAGGGACCTGGACTGGACATGGAAAAAAAGTCTTTTTTGCTCACCTAGAACTTGAAGTGAAGAGAACCCTGGAAGCTGAATGGGAGGTAACAGGTTTGTTTTCTGATGAAGGCAGGGATAGAAGGTTGAAATAACTGGCATTATATAAATATTTTTTAAAATCTCATTACAAGAATGTTACTCTTAGTTCTTCATAGATTTCACAGAATGTGGAAATATTGGTTGGGTTTTTTTGGTAGAATGAAGAAAACCTCCCTGTCTGCCAGACAGATATGTGTGTCTGTTGCATCCTCAGCCATATGGGTAATTTCAGCTCTGAGGAGAGGAAAGCTTTTCAGTTAACTGTAGAAGTGTCTGGAGGAGAAGGTGTGAGCATAGAGATAGTTAAATTATGTATTTGTCTTCACAGGTGTAGGATTTGTGTTGGATTTTTCATTTGTGTTGGATTTAATACTGAGAGATGCTTCTTTCTTTCCAGTCTGGGTGCTCAGCTGAGAAACTGGTGGCTTGGCAGTCTTTTTCACCAAATGCTATTAAAAGGAGGTGAAAGACAGTCTTAGAAAGGTCTGGGTTTATGCAAGAAACAGGGAATCCTCAGGTATGATAACTTTCCAGTTATCTACTTCCAAAAAATAAAAATAATCATTTAGGTCCTCTTCAGTTGATTATGCTGCAAGGTGCAGAAAATCCGATATCAACAGAACAAACTATACAAAGGCCTGCCAAACTACATCAGCCTCTCACTGAAACTCTGCGTTCATGGAGAAGCTGGTGTTGAGCAGCAGCCAAAGAAGTTTCACACTGGATTTAACCTCTGAGCAGGCCTGAGTGGCCTTTCGGGCACATGACCCATGGGCTAAGCTCTGAGCTTGCATGGAAAATAGTGGTTTTCCTTTTCTGCAAGAACTGCTAGAGAACATCATCACGGCAGCCTGAGCAGAAGCAGTGGCTAAGAAGATGCAGAACCATGTCAGACAGAGGTGCTGCACAGCTTTCTCTCTTGGTAGCGTTCTGGGTGCTGAGATACCTAGAGACATTTTATCTGCTGGAAAAGGTAAGCGAGACCTTTCATGCTCTGAGTTAAGTGCTCCTTGTGTAGGTTGCTGTAAGTCTCTCTTCCTCAGCTTTGTGAGAACAGGGCCAGGATCCCGGGCCATTAGCAGAAGAGAAAAGCACTGACATTTAGCACATGAGGAACAAACAGGCTTCATCATGCGTACCAAATTATTTATTTGTATCAAAAAGAGGTGGCTTAATGACATGTATTTGGTAAGGCAGCTTAGGATTTCTTTAAAAAACAACAACAAAAACAAACAGGAAAAAAACCCAAACCACCACAATAACAAAACACCCCTGACCATACAAGACAGGAGGACTAATGTAGTGACAGTGTCATGTAGAAAATGTGTGAGTAGTGAAGAATAAACTGGACTGTGTTAGGCAGCACAACTTTGCATAGTTCATGGGCAATTAATCTGATTTGGATACAGTGGATGTGTAAAACCGCAGTCCCCATTAGCTATAGCACATGTCACAGTTCCTATCCCTTCTGAAGAAGTCATCGGCCATGGCCATGGGCGGTAGGTAGTCTATGCAGTCCGTGCTGGGGCAGGGGAAGTATTGTGGGACCCTGTTGTCCACATGCTGGGAGCCACAAGCTGTGCAGCAGCACGCAGAGGCGGTGTATGGGGCGGGTGTATGGCAGGACCACTCCTCTGCAGGGTAGCCATAGGTCTTGGTGTCCAGAGCAGAAGGTGGACTGTGGGTCAGCGGGGTGAAAGAAGATAGCTGAGGAGGAGAGCAGCTATAGTTTAATGGGCTGGACAGATCAGCTGAACTGGGGGATCCGGCAGCCTACAGTTTGAGAGAAGGAAAAAAAAAAAAAAGACATTTCAGGGTGTCACTTGGGGAAATGCAGAGAGCAGACAGAATTTCCATGCAGTTGCCTTTCTCAAGAGGGTCTGGCTATGCAGGGAGATGATCTGGCCCTTGGAGGCCTAAACCCAAGAGGCAGTTCCTGTGATGTTAGTACTAATAGGGAACTTCTCTGCAAGTTAGACAACCGCTAGCAGGAACTGGGCTATTCTTTGCAGAAAATCTACAGGATCTGTAGAAGGGACATTCCCTATTCTGGAGCCTCTCTCTAGTTTTGGCTGGGCCTCCCTGTCCTCTGCTCCCAACAGGAAACCATGCAGAAGTCCACACAAGCAACCTGCATTGCTGTGGCTGTTCCCCACGCCCCTAAAAGCAGCCACATTTCCAAATCAGCTTGCTGCTGTTCTGCCCCAGGATGTGACTCCCCCATCTTCCCTCTGAGTGCACGTGTGGCTGCTCCCCTGGGACACAAAGCTTACCAGGCTCTGGTTAAAGCAGAGCGGGACTGGCTGGAAGGCTTCCGAGGTGTAGTGTGAGGACGTCTGGAAAGTACTGAAGGCTGGGTCTAAGGGCGCTTCTGTCTGAAGACAGGAATCTACCAGCTGCTCCAAATAGCTAGTGCTTTCTTCACAGGAGAGGCAATTCGAAAACTGCCATGATGGACAATAGTTGGGAACAGAAGAGATGGGTTCTGCATCAAAAGGTGCTAGGAGAGAAGGTAAATGAGACAGTAGCCGATTATTCAGCATCTGTCTTCACAAAGGGCAGGTGTTGCGCCAGGTCAGGTTTCAGTACTCTCGTATGTTCAGTAGCCCTATGGATTTAGACAAGGAAAAAGGTCCTTCAAGTTCAGGGTGAATTTTCTAGGGAAGGAGACACCAGGAGGAGGATGCTCAAAAGCATGCAAATAACTTGGGAACTTTAGTCCCCTTGGAAAGCTCCAAAGCTCTTTCAATATTGCTGGAAACTCTTCTGGCTCCAGCCATTTTGGACAGGGATCCAGCTGCAAACTCCCTCAGACTCTTGACCCTTTGGCCTCCCTTCAAATGTCAACTGTTTACAGACGTAGAAGCTCGCCATGCAGCGATTTATGCTTCACAGCTTGGCAGACAGCTTGCACCTTTGCCTCACCCAGTGTCCAGATGCAGGGTAGCTACATCCACCGGAAGAAGGGGGTAACAAAAGAATAATTTGCTCTTTCATCCTCCAAACAGCCAGACAGGAGACAAACTTCTGAGCAGACAAAGTGGAGCGAGTCAGTGATAACACGGCATTGCATCCACATAGTGTTACTGGCAAAAGCGTGAGTTCCTGGAAAGCTGTAAGGGTCAGACTCACTGTACTGCAACACGCTTGCTGGGCTATGAAAGCCCACAGCAGATCTGACTTTTCAGAATTATTATCTTTTCATGCTGCGTTCAAATATGGTTAAAAGCACCTGTCTACATGGAGGGGCACAGGTCTGAAGGCAATGGAACTGCTCATGGGTAAAGAGTCACTCAGTCATAACGGTTTGCAGGTTCAAGGTGGCAGTGTTTAGCCGCATGTGGGGAGGAAGTGAAAAGCATCCAAAATACATAAACAAATGGAGACTTTCCAGTCTGAAAATCTCTGGTATGTCTCATGTTTCTGTATTAACATAAACAGATTGATTCCCAAATATTGACGATTTAATCATTTCCTTGTCCATACAATGTATATATTCACGCCTGCCCAACCTTTTAGGTCTCTCTGCTTTGGCTGCAGAATAATTGAAGGATCTGTGAGCTCAAACTGCTATTCCTCCCTATCCCCTTCCCCTTCCCTTGGATATTCACATAGAGGAGGAAAAACTCTTTGTGTCGCTGAAAACCTGACACACTCCTACGGATGCTGCCAGGAGAATGAGAACAGCCAACTCTGCTGAAGCTCAGCAAGGTGCTCCAGGGTGATCTGACCCTCTAGCTCCGTCCAGTCGGACCCACAGACTGCAGCCTGGAGAAGGTGATGCCAGCAGTGTTATTCCCCAGGGGATGAGCATCCCTTCCTGAAGGGAATCTTGCTCCTTGCTCTGGGAAAAACAAACTGAACAAACGAGAGCATGTGAGTGTGTACCTCACTGTACCCTGCTGGCGTCAGGGCATCCTTGTCTCCATTTCCTGGGCTGCTTTCAGGTGCTGATTGGCTGCATTGCCAGTTATCTAGTAGTGCCTCAGTAGTGCCCTCAACCAAGGGCTGGAAAGACTCTGGGCTGTGGGAAAAATTGGGAAAGGGGTGGGAAGGGACATGTGGATGGACTTTGTACCAACCTGGGTGAGGAGGAGACACAGACTCTGAAAACTGGATGCTGCTGTTTCCCCAAGAAACCTGACCAAAAAGAAGGGAAGAAAAGGAACTGTAGATACTGTAACACAGGGGAGCATTTTTCTGCTTGCTGACGTAATTCAGAATTTCGCTTCAAACAATTTAGGTAAATCTTACTTACCTCATGGCTGTGACGTGGAAAACTGCCCTAGCATTCACAGAACAACATTTTTCCCTGAGCCTATAATGGCACTGGAGGAGCATACCACCAACCTGGTGTAAAGCACTTGCTACAGCACCTTGCTAGTGTGCTCTTCCTACGGCATTATTACTGTTAATTCAGCAGAGATGTGGCTGCCTTTGAAATGAACATGTGTTAATTTCTAGGACCATGAAATCCACAGTGGGGGGGATCTCAAAGAATTTGTAGGGATAAATACGACTGAGAATGAGTAATTAACAAATTTGTAGTGATAACTCTTGAAACATGACTAAAGACAATTGCAGGTATCCCCATGGCTGGGCATCAGACTGGGTCGCCGTGCTTAGTGCTGATGTCATTTGAAAACCAGTTCTGGCATCACTCCCCACTCCAACACAGCTATGTGCCTCTGTGAAAATGGACAGTCTCTTTTTCTGAGGAATGCTGGAAACTGAAGCAGACAGATCAATCTGTTCTAGGAACTTGACCTGCTGGAGGAGAGAAATCCACCCCAAAAGCAATGGGAGTTTTGATGCTTGTTGTTTGGGACCAGGATTTTACTCTGCAAATACAAATACTGGTTGTTTTCCTCAGTTTTGGTTCATACAGACTTCCACTTAATATCCTTTATTGAAAATGCTGTTGAGTTAGTGGCTCATTTCCCTACCAACAACTTCCTAGCACATCCCTGTTCAATTAATGTATTAAACAGTAGCTATTCTGAGCTGAAGGTGCCTGTAGGACTACCCCACTTCTCTTTGGCTGCAGATGTGTAACAAAACAGACAGAGCCATACCACCGGCAGCAGAATTTTTCAGGTTTGGCTTTTTTCATTGCATGGAGGCAGCTTCCCCTGCTGGCCCTAACGTCTGGGGCCTCTCCAGGACAACGCGTACCCTTTGCAGATCACAAAGGTGACCTCCTGCACTGACACTTTTCACTTTTTCCTGTGTGGGCAAAACAAGCGCTGTGTAAACTTGCTGTGGGAAGCAGAAACCTGTTCCACGCAGCCCTGTGATGCCTGGCTGCGATGAAGAGGCTGCTTGCATTAGGGCTGGAGGAGTGACCCAGCATTTCCAAAGCTCGGCAGCTTTGGGCGCTGTTCAGCCAGGCCTCTCTGCCTGTGGCTTGCGGGCTGATCAGCTTTTTGTGCAACTAGCTGCAACGAGGTACAGCAGTTGGGAGGTGAAATCTGAAAACCACCCAAAGCTATAAGGTCATGAACCAGGAAGAAGTAATGATTTACCAACCTCTTTATGCAAATCCCTAGAGTGGCTGGAGCTAGAGGACTGCTACAAAGAATGGAAGAGTGAGTGAGCGTACACGTGTGTGTGTGTACACACACACACAGATCTCAGTCGCCTCCTTTGGAAGGGATGGGGCTAGGAGCTGCCCAAGTGGTACTGAAAAATGTTACAGACCTGGATTCAGTCAAGCACGTTTGAATATTATGCTAAGGAGCCCTAATGGAGCAGGATGGAGCCCTCTTCAAGGGGTCTTTGCCCATGCCTTGTCTTCTTCCTTTCTGCTAGCCAACATCTGGGGCTGTTGTTAAGTCCCAAATTCCCAAATCCTTTCCACTGCCTGGGAGCTGCTGAAGGCACTGTACCTCTAGTGCCTTCATTTCCTGCCTGACCTAACCGGACAAGAGAAAGCCTCCGGGGTAGGGGGTGGTTGAAAGCAGCTTCCTGGAGGGCTGACCCTTGTGGAAAAAGGGGAGGTTAGGGGAGCTTTAGTGTGACCAGAGCTTTGCACCGGTTGCTGCTCAAAGCTGCACAGGTCGGGTCAAAGGCATGCCATGAGCATATCCTTCACCTGATGCGGCAAAACAGTTTAGTGCATGCTTCAGCCTGGCCAGGCCACATGGGGGTGGGGGGGAAGTGACCATGGCATGCCTTTCTCATCAACCATAATGATACTGGAGTTGCTGATAACTGTAGGTTGGACTGAAATTTGTCCATGTGAGCCTTCCATCCCAGAGTGACTTATGTTTCTGGAGCGCTAGCTCTGCTTTCTCTCTGCACTAATGGCTCAGACCATCACCTGTTCAGATCACTGCTGCAGTTACCCTGTCTGAATGTTCTTCTCCCCCACCCTGACCAGCCTGCTACACTCAGACTTTGGCAGTCTCCTTGGCCTGGAGATTACAGTTTTGGCAAAAATGATTAAGAGAGACAAAGACAAAGCAGACTCCAAAAGGTTCTTACCGCTGCACTGGTTGCTGCTTGTCGTGCTCTTCTCTGCTGCAGTAACTCCTTAACTGTAATCTTTACTCTGACACCTTGATAGACCTTGGGCTTTCCTGAAAGAATTTATGGGAAAACTCTTTACAAGATGGGAGACTTTCAGAGCATATAGCAAATCCAGCATGTTTTCAACCATGCTCTATGTGGAGTCTACTTAAGAGTTAACAGATGATTAACTGATCCCTGTTAAGCACTTGTAATCACAGTTTATAGCCCTCTAACACCTGCTATTCAAGCTTGGTACAAGCAGACATTTACGAAAAAGTTGGTGTTGATTATATTTAGTAATCATACATGTTTTATTCTTTACTACCTCCTTCTTCCCCCCCACCCTCCAGGTGTCCTAATACCAAGCTCCATCTGGTGCTACTGTTGAATTTACTTAAATTCCTATCATATTTCCCACTCCTAGAATCTGAAAATAAATGTGGGAAGCACTTAATCTGGCAGGAATAAAACAATGGAAATATGTGGGCAGTTATTATGAGAACTAAACAAAACACAAATAAAATGACTGCTTTCATGAATCACTTCTTGCAAAGCCTACATTATCTCTTTATTTTGCTCATTCTGTACAATACCCATTTATGTCAAACAAGCATTTAGGATGTCTTTAATCCAGCCAAAACCGATCAGCAAACATCAGTCACTACCTCATGAGGGATTTTTAGTACAGGAAATGGTAATGAATTTACCTATTCTGAAAAATCACTGTCACTTGCTGTACTCATGCTAAAATACTTAAAGCCTGTGGCAGTTCTGTTTCTGTCCTAACTTTCTGCTGTTATTTTCATCCAGTAGCAGATCCTACAAATGCTAGTGTCATCTCATCCTGCAGTCAGCTCTTCCCCAGTGGCGGCAGCTGGTTGCAGGTTCCGTGTTCTATAGCTGCTGCATGCAGCAAGAAGACAGTGCTGGATTTCTGGGTTCCACCCACATATCCAAGAAATCCCACACTGTAGGCACTGTCCTCTTCTGCTATAACCTCTGCCGGTTGCTGATGGCTGTACAGCAAATTCGCTCTCCTGTCTGCCCACCCCCAGCCCTCCTGTGGCCCCCTTGGTGCCCTGGTTGAGGACATGCTGTAAGAGGCATGCAGATCCCTCAAGAAAGGTGGCAGGCTGAGCCGGGCCTGCCTCGAGGGGAGTTTGCTGAGCTGTGATCTCTGCAGATGGGAATTATTAATCTCCTGGTTTTATGTTTTGTTTCTATTCAACAAACCGAAGACGGGGAAAATGAGGGAAGGGTTGAATTTAATGAGAGCAGCCTGTTACCAGGCCTCCCTATGGCCAGGGAGGGCCCTGAGCTAGCAGACCCTTCCGCAAGTTTGGGTTCATGCTGCGTACAGCTGCTTAGCTCTGGTGTGCACAGGTAGATGGAGAGGGCTAGGGGCTGCACTGTGAGCAACTTAAGACAAATTAGCAGGTGAGGTATGGACACATCTATAACCCACGGGCTGGCTGTTGGGCAGCCCTCACCCATGGCTCCCATGGCAGAGCACTGCGCCCCAAGGATCCTGCCTTCTAGCAGCCCGAGGCCCCAGCGTGGTCTGCGTGCAGCTGAAGCATTGAGAGCAGGGCTGCCGCGGCCAGCTCTCCTGAAAGGGCCAGGTTGTGGGTGGCAGGGGCAGGGTGATAACGCTAGGGCTGGGTAGGGAGCAGGGTGGTGAGGGTGGGCTGGGGCTCCGGCAACGGGGCGGTCGGGGCAGGCTGGCAATCGGGAGCAGGGCGCCAAGGGCAGGCTG